TTTCTAAATATTAAATATATTAAGATTAATATAAATTAATACTTTTATTTTATTTTCCTAAATGCAATCTGTGAGAGCTTTGACTCAACAGTGGATTGAAACCTTTGATCGATTTATGGATGTAAACAAATTTCTTTTTTAACATCTTAGGAATCATACGATAGAGTCAATGGAGCCATTGACTCTATTTACGAGTAAATTTGTTTAAAGCCAGCTCCTGAATAGAACCCAAGTTCCAAATTTGTCAAATTACCTGATGCTCCTCAAGTGAAGATAGAAGTGATAATCAATATCACTCCTGATGAGACCAAATCATTTAGGTAAAAAAGAAGTTTTTAATTAATTTATATAGACATGTGTAATAATAGAAGGTGGTAGTAGTACAAGAAGAGCAGGAGGTATTTGAGAGATAGGAGGATCTCTTACAAATTTTATCCAATGTTAATTACATTAATATTGATGATGACTCATCATCAATATTTAAGAAACTCTTAGATATGCTTAAGAAGGAGTAAATCAAAGACTGTGTGGCATATCTCTAATCATTTAAGAATTAAGATAAAAAGGAGAAGGAGAAGGAGCAAATTAATAGGATAATTAACATTCTGAAGAACTTAAAAGATCATGAATTCAATTAGAAAGACTATTCCTCAGAACCATTTGAAGAGATTAAAAAGAATCTGATAAAGAAGTTGTAAGGTGATAAGAACATGATGGAGTTATTAAAATTTTTAATCATGCTTACTAGTATAGATGATCAATTCATCTAATGTGGATCCAACTCACTTCATATGCTGGTAATGATGAAGGTAGATCTCAGAAATCAATGCTTTGAGGATATCAGGATGAAGAATACTTCTTTGAATGGTGGTAACTTTGTAAGATGTAATATGATTGGATCAGAATTTGAGAATGTGGATATTAGCGGAGTTAATTTTAATGGAGCTTAGATGTTCAATTGTAAATGAGAGAACATAAAGGTCCATGAATTGAATAGGTTGGAAGGTCATAGTAGTTATGTGAGATCAGTCTGTATTTCTCCTGACGGAAATACATATACATTAGCTTCTGGTAGTTATGATAACTCTATCCGTCTATTCCTAAAAGGCAACATTTTAAGCATAAGGAGCACTAATTTTGAAAGGAGAATTTACGAACTAATCAGGTATTGATTGAAAGACATTATTCAAACAAAAAGAAGTTGCTTTTTAGAAAACTTTAAGTAAAAGTGATTTTGATCATTATCAAACAACAATTATAATTACAATCAATATCTAATATTTTTGTAATTCTTTCTTTATTAGTTTCACTCGTAATCTTAGCTTCTAGCTAGATGAAATTATAAATGATACTACTTTTAATTAATAATCTAAACAGAGAACATTAGGCTAATTGAAGAGATTAAATTAAAGATTGATATAATTACTTAAAGAAAACTAATTTAATTGAAAAGGTATAAGTATATTTTTTTAAATTATTAACTTTTTCGGAGATAATTATACCTTCCCTAACAACCATCTAACAACATTAATTATTGTTAAACTTAAGCTCAACCTAAATTGTAACATACTTCAAATAATAAACATTGATAAATCACTGAGTTTAAGTATAATAATTGTTACCTTTAAGACGATTTTCACTAAATTAATTAATTTATATACAAAATATTCCTGAATAATTCTTAAATTATTAAAAACCTTATTCTTTAGTTAAACACATCAACAAATTAAATTTTAAATTTAGATTAATTCACTAAGTAATTACCCAAAAATTATGGATAGTGTTGAAATATTTTAATTTTTCAACTACTAAAAATCAAAGATCTATGTAAGTTTATGTTGATGATTACAAAATTATAATTAATCAATTATTCAATAACTTTAATAATTAAGGTTTAGAGAAATTTTATTTTAAAAACATGTTTCGGTGACATTCAGATTTAATTATTAATTTTGATAATTCCTCAGCAAATCCATTGATTATTAAGGTCTCTCTACTTTTGCTGTGAATTTGAGTTGCTTTACAATTAAGGTTATTTACTCCTGATTTGAATGAGATTACTTAATAATATCGTCTTCACATCATTCTCTACTTTAAACTATTTAGATCCCTCTATTTAAACAAGGGCAGCCAAGCCCCCATACCATATTGGAGGCAATAGATAAGAGCAGATAAGTATTCTTGAAAATAATAGAAAAACCATTATTATTTATCTGAGTAATAATTCGAAATAGTGTAAGCCTATAATAATAATGAGATTTTCAAAAATCTATAAAATATCTTTCAAAAATTGTCATAGTTATAGAAGAATTTTAATTACATTAATATTTAAGTGCATTTTTTTTATTTTCTTAAGAAAAACACAAAATGACAAATCAAAATTAGACAAGAGTTCAAAACGTAATGAATTTGAAGGAAAAATCAATTAATCATAGAACTCAAATTTTTTAGAAATTAAATTATTTATATAAAAATTAATTAATCCATATTATTTAAGAAGAAACTCATGCATAGGTTGCAATAATTTCTTATTAGCTTAGTTTATTATCAATTTGAAATCTGCACAAAGTCTGAACTTCTATTTTACTGAAATGCACAAGATACTTTTATCGATTTTGCAGTATATAACTTAAATTTAAAGTAATAGAAATTCATTATTAAAAATAAAAAAGAATATGCAAGCCCATTGTTAAGAGAAGGAAGCTCTAGCTGACATCTTTGGTCATCTAAAAGATGTAGATGAGCAAAAGTTTGGTGTCATATTAGAAAAATTAAGAAAGGAAGACATCATTGGATATCTTTCATAAAACGTAAATCAAAGGCAATTAGAATTATATATCTTAAAACAAGCAGAGAAAATCGCCCAAGATGATAAAGAATAGAAATTTTCTCTTATTGGAAATGACATGAAATAAATTACAGATGTCTTAAAAAAATTAAAAGATCATGACTTCAACAAAAAAGACTTTTCCTCTCAAGAAAATGAAGAATCTACATTATTTCTAATTAATAGCATCAAAGATAATAGAACGATCATTGAATTTTTGTAATTTTTAGTTCACCTTACATCAATAGATAACACTTTAATATAATGTGGATCTAATTCATTACATATATTAGTTTAAATTAAGGTGGACCTTAGAAATAAAAGTTTTGAGAATATTAAGATTTAAAATACATCTATAGTAGGAGCTAATTTTTTTAGGTGTAATTTAAGCGAATCCTAATTTAACAATGTCAACATAAGTGGAATAAACTTGAATGGTGCTTAGATGTTCAATTGTAAATGGAAGAACATTTAAGTCCATGAATTGAATAAGTTGGATGGTCATAGTAGTTGTGTGAGATCAGTCTGTATTTCTCCTGATGGAAATACATTAGCTTCTGGTAGTAATGATTACTCTATCCGTCTATGGGATGTTAAAACAGGATAATAAAAAGCCAAATTAGATGGCCATAGTAACTATGTTACGTCAGTCTGTTTCTCTCCTGATGGAAATACATTAGCTTCTGGTAGTGGTGATAACTCTATCCGTCTATGGGATGTCAAAACAGGATAATAAAAAGCCAAATTAGATTTTCATAGTAACTATGTTGCATCAGTCTGTTTCTCTCCTGATGGAAATACATTAGCTTCTGGTAGTAGTGATAGTTCTATCCGTCTATGGGATGTCAAAACAGGATAATAATAAGCCAAATTAGATGGTCTTAGTGGAACTGTCTGGTCAGTCTGTTTCTCTCCTGATGGAAATACATTAGCTTCTGGTAGTG